ACACAAAGGGCCAAGACGACAGTTAGCGTTCACGGAACACGCACAAACGCGCGCACACACACATGAACACACACACACAAACACAAACACACGCCAACCGAACATACTGCGGATAAACATGATAGCGATGGTTCAGACACATGTTTTTTTTTATCTCACAATGGGAAATATAATCGGTGTATTTTTCCTTTATTTTCGCTCAAGGTCGGCGAATGACAAAATACATGTTGGATTAGGGATCCGGGCCATTTAAGGGCGGCGACGACGGCCACGGCTTAGCGGAAGGTGTTACGGGAATGACAACGATGCCCATTTATCTTGGCCCGGACAAAGAACGGGAGGGTGGATGTACAGTTGGTGGAGAGGAGGGGATTCGGATATTATCCCCTCCCCCACACACACCCAACGCCCCTCCTCCCCCTCCTTCATTCTCTCTACGTTCCAATATCCCCGCCTGCCTTTCTCCTCCTCCCCCCTCCACCCGCACCCCACCCCACGTCTTACCCCGCCGCTCGACCTCTCCCCCATCCGATCATTAGGCATTGACCCATTTGACTTTGTTTCACTGAGAGCTCTGTATCCTGTTTGCACTGCCGTCGCCGCCTCAACCCGATCGTGTCGTCTCGTATTACGCTTTGTGAAGTGGCGTTCTCTTCTTGAATTCTGTCGCCGACTTTTCTTCATTTTGGGGCAGGGGGAGGCGTGTATGCGTGTGAAAGTTCCTTCTTTCCAGTCGAGTGAGTTCCGTGCTGTTATTCTGTGTTCCCATAAATCTGTTTCTCTCTCTCCCTCCCTCTCTCCCTCCCTCCCTCCCTCCCTCCCTCCCTCTCCCTCTCTATCTATCTATCTATCTATCTATCTATCTCTATCTCGTGTGTGTGTGTGTGTGTGTATGTGTGTGTGTTTGCCTTTCCCCAACCATGACACCACGAAAAAGATGACGTTATCACGGGACGCTTTTCTCTTCCTTGGGGATATCGGATCCTAGCTTTGTCTGAGGCGATGCGATGGCGCAGCGCCGTGTCGCATGGCGTCGAAATGAGGGGTCGGGAGCCGGGACTAATTCTTCGCAACATATCTGGAAGCCTCGGGCAGCGATTCCCACACGGAGGAATTCGCAGCCGGTCCGATTAGTACAGCGTGACATTGGTCTGTCCACGTCATACCCGAATGATTTCTTTCGGAAATTGGACAGTAGGATAAAGTGAGCCGCACTTGAACGATGCGATAGGAAAGCACGAGACGCCTACAGAGGGCAGAGAGGGGAGGAGGGGGGAGGTATCCACTATTGTCGAGGGGTGAATGTCAAACACAAGCCCGGAACGCTGTCCCCTCATCCAGGATTACCAGGCCCAGCAGTTGACCGCTCGAGGGGAGCGTGGCGAGGGGACAGTTGCTCCTGTGTGCTTATCGGAGAAGGAGAAGGAAGATGGTGTGTGTGAGAGTGCATATGGTGACTGGCTGAGGACTTCCTAGTAGCTGAGAAAAGAGACACTTGTGGCCAGGTCAGATGTGCATGTGTCATAGACATGGGTCTGCCTGGCGAAGAAGCCTAATACTCCTGCGGTAAGGACACGTGATGTTGGAAGGAGGTAAAAAACGACAGAAAAAATATTTTCGAATGAATCACCCTTGTGAGCTGTAGTTGCGGTCGCCGAATTACTAAGTATACCGCCGGGGGCATGTTCAGACGCTTGAACGCGTGAGTCAGCCATCGCGGCGAGGGCGAGAGCGAGGGCGTCTCCCGTAGCGGAGCTGGGATGCCCAGTTGCCTTGGAGGGGTCAGGATACTGGGAAACTTGCGTAAAATACAAGCATGGACATACCGAAACCTCTGAGACCGGCGTGAAATAGGAATGAAAAGTATTTTGCTTTTAAAAAAAGTGACCAAGGTTTTGATTAACGTTTTTTCTTTCATCCGTCAAAACTAAGCACTCCGAAACACGGACAAGGCGATTTGTTGTAGTATATATATATGTGTGTGTGTGTGTGAGTGTGTGTGTGTGATCCCTTTCGTTAGTATAGCAAGGTAAACCGTAACAACATTCAACCTTCCTTTTCTTTCTCCGCATTCCATTCATGGTTCTTTTGCACCAAGGGTTCATAGAAAGGTCACGTGAAGGTCATGCCCCATCTAACAGGCCTCTCCTTTTAGCCTTTCCCAGATTGTAAAAGTTTAAGTACCTTAAAGGGTGTACAAGCGTGGAAAGCAAGGAAGCCGTACCTCAAGGTGGGCGGATGGCGCGGCGCTTCGGATCAACAACAGACTCCCTGTACGATTCTCGGAAGAGACAGGAGGTCGCGCGGCTTTGTCCCAGTGTCAACACCGGGCCTTCTCTCTCTCTCTCTCTCTCTCTCTCTCTCTCTCTCTCTCTCTCTCTCTCTCTCTCTCTCTCTCTCTCTCTCTCTCTCTCTCTCTCTCTCTCTCTCTCTCTCTCTCTCTCTCTCTCTCTCTCTCTCTCTCTCTTCTCTCTCTCTCTCTCTCTTCTCTCTCTCTCTCTCTCTCTCTCTCTCTCTCTCTCTCTCTCTCTCTCTCTCTCTCTCTCTCTCTCTCTCTCTCTCTCTCTCTCTCTCTCTGTCTCTGTCTCTCCCTCTCCCTCTCTCTCCCTCCCTCTCTCTCCCTCTCTCTC